AGGCTGTTAATACAGTGCATTATCCCTTTTATAATTTTTTATTCATTCAAATAATTTTTAATAATTGCACAATTATGTTCAGGATACATTGATCTGAGTGAGGGTAGAAATTAATATATGACAATATTTTTAAAAGTTTACAATTATCTCTAGCCCAAACTGCCAATGGAATTTAAATTTCAGGAATAAACTGCCCTAGTTTAAACAGTTAAATGCAGCATTTTAATTTGTTAAGAAATATATTTTACTAACATATGCCATTAAGAAATGAGCAACAAGCAATGTCAGAAAACTAATTCCCAATATTAGGTCTACAAAAGCAGGGGAAAAATCACTCCTAACAACTGAAGGGATGAGTTGGGTGAACGTTTGTTTGTTTGTCTGTTTGTCTGTTGAGAGGAGGACGAGACTAAGCTCCATCAGCATTGGGATGTCACTGAGAGAGCATTCATGGTGGTGTCTCTCTTGTAAGCAGCCACATCTTGAGTGATGTTGAGATGTTGGGAGAACAGTAAACTGGAAGTCTGGATATCAGAGGTCAAGCTTTGAGTCTGCCTCTAGTATTATGTGATTTGGGTAAAAAACTCACTCAACCTAGACCTCGAAAATAACCTATTATCCCTTCATTTTTCTGACATGCTGCGAAGATCTTTGTGTGTCATGCTGAAGGATTTGGATTTTATCATAGAACACAGGGAAGCCATTCAGTGGTACATAGACAGATAGAATTGTTTAATTCACTATGTCTCAAAGTAAATGTTTGAGTCTCCAATATGATTCATTTGAGTGCTGTTTTTTGTTTGTCTTTTCAGCATATGCTCTCCAAAGTGGGAATGTGGGATTTTGACATTTTCTTGTTTGATCGCTTGACAAATGGTAAGTTACCCAAAAGAATTCTCACTAAAATATACACCATAAAGTGGGATTAATTGCATGAAAAACAAAATTTATTTTTAAACACTGTCATTCTTTTTTTTCTTCTTTCCCCCACTTACATAAATCTACAGCTACTAAAGAACAACCAGGGCAAGAGAAAATTAATCCAGATGAAGAATAAGGACTGAATTTAGCCTTAGAATCTTAAGATAGTTTCCTTCCAACCTTGATGATCCCAAAGGAATTTGGAAACCACAGATTAGATTCTTTTCCTACAGAATACTTTGGCCACATCCAAGAGTAGGAAGTTTATTGTTGGTTGACGAAAAACTAGAAACATAAAAACACATCTGACCAGTCCTGACTTTTACAGGGCAAGGTGTCTGCGCAGTTTTATTAAGTGATCCGAATCTGCCCCATTGCAGGTATTGCTGAAATATGTTTGACGTCATTAGAAGAAAACAATTGCTGAGGAGAGAAAGTAAAAACTTAGGCTGCAAATGAAGGGGAAAGTAAACATTTCCATTGGTTTCACTTTTCAAATTTTTGTGCTTATGAAGGCCTTCCTTGAGAAAATAATAAAATCTTCTTATATTTTCATCTGCCCATTAAACAAATGCTGGTAAGCTTAGGGAACCAATGAAAGACATCACGTTTAGTACTGTCTTTCTTTGTGTGTTCCTATCATCTACCAGGCTTGAGCTTTAAGTCATTACAGGTAGTTTTCTCAC